ATGCAGTTATATTTAAACAGAGTAGTCGTATTTAACAAGTTTGACGTGCAATATTAATTGACAAAACAGAATAAAAAAGTGTTTAGTTTGAAATCTGAAACTGACAGGCAAATCAATTTGTATTATTGATTTCTTCTTTTTTCAGTACAAAGTTAATTAATATTGCATTTATATTTTATTTTTGCAAATAAAACAAGGAAAAACTAAAAAACTGACAAAGATGATAATGATAACTTTTTCACATTTAGCCAACACCATTTGAACCATTTAAACACCAAAAAAAGTAAAAAGAAGATAGTTGTTGCTCCAGTTTTCTATTGAATGATTGCAAGAAACATTACAAACTTTTTGTACAAAAATTATTAATTTAAAAATAAGGATTTGCCGGTAGTGGAAGAATCACATTAAAAAGTTAATTTAAAACCACTGTTGCACAAGTTGGTTGTTTTTCAATTTTTTTTAAAATAAACTCCTAATTTGGGCAGACAAAAAATAGACCGTCTGGACTGACGCCTCGTGGACTGGTCCTCGTGCTTTTATACCGCAAGTTCCCGCCACCGCCGACTGCGTTTGTTTTTCTTCCTCCGGCGACTGTTCTCACGTTCACACGCACACAAACACACAGTCATTTCCTTGGGAGATATTCTCCTGCTTTTATATAGCATGCCACCGACTGAGCCACTGCAGACATCTTTTTCTTTTTTCATCTTTCTCTTTCTCTCTCGCTTTCTCCTGGGTCGGTCACTGGAACGGACTGAGCAGACAAACTGACACTGACACTGACGTCGATCATGCGCTCGTCCTTCCAAAATTATTTCATGCAAGCAAGTCGGGAGTTTTCTTTTCCGTTTTTACATTGGCAACCCTTTCCTTTTGCTAGCTTAGAACGCACAAACTGCAACTGTTGTTCACAGTGTCTTCATTCAGTGTCATTCTTCAGACACACTTTTCCCTTCTCTGGTAATTATCGTTATTAATAATGTATTTGCGGTCAATGGTAGTGGTGGTAAAGTTGTACCAGTTGTTTGGCTTTGTCGGTCAGTTTGGTCATCCAGCTGTGTTTCAGCCATTTAATTGCAAGTGCCAACTGCTGAGCCAATTGACGGCCTACCCTTTAATCAGCAAGTGTGAAATTTCTCTTACAGATTGAGAAAAAAACAAAAAATGGTGAGTTAGCAGTGTAATAGTCTGCTTGACTGAGATTTTGTTTGCAAAAAAACTGAATTAATGAGTACCGACTTAAAAAACGAAATTCCTGGTAAAGTTAAGATTTCTTGTTCACCATTTAGAACTTGATTCTTTGAATGCATGATTTTCTAAAGTTTCTCATTTTTGTTTGATAGTTTATTGCCGAGTATCTAATTTCAAAGTAAAATCTGTGAATAAACATTTTTGCTGTTTTGAAAAAAAACTTTGTAGCACTTTAATTTGCACCACTTAGAGCTCCAAGATTGCAATCAATCAGCAAAAAGTTTAATACGATTAGAGTTCATTCTCATTTTTTCTATCTTTATTTTCAAAATAGACTTTGAGTGCATTAATTTCAAACTTTGGTTTAGTTGCAATCTGCTGACGCACAAAACGTTGAATTGAATGGCAAGTTCTTCTGTGATTGAGTTTTGCAATCCATTGAAAAGTCAATGCCAGTTACGCTTAACTCTTAAGTGTCTGAAAATGACACTTTTCAAAGTTGTATAAAAACTTAACTCTAGATGAAATTCAATGGAAGTTTCTTTGTGAAATTGATAATTTCACACATTTTACACTAAGTAAAATCATTGGAAATGCTTAATTTATTCGTTTTCTTTCCGTTTTTTTGTATACTTATTTGTCTTTTTCTTTTCATTACTACCTGAATTCCTTTTGCCTGATTTTAAGCGCAAAAAAATGTAATCGAAATAAAATCAAATGTAAAATACAGTTATGGTACAAATAAAAATAAAAATTTTTATTTTAGTGCATTTTATTCTCATAGTTTTCAAAATCTTATTGCAAAAAAAATCATTTTTATAACAGGGGTTGCGACATCTGTTACAGAAATTTTACACTGCTTTACACATTTTTTCCGAACAAACAATCAAAATGCAAATTGATGTAAAAAGAACTTTTTTTGCAATTTGAATTATTATTTTCAAGCATAAAAATATGTGTTTGATAAAAAAAACACATACTTTGCATTTTTTGGTTTAGTTATTCAAGTTATTGACACTTTTACCAGCAGCATGAGCAAGGAACCAGAAAAAGCAGCGGAGAAGTCAGCAGCTGACGAAGGCGATGGCGGAGCCACTGTGCTAATTGCTCCAGTTGACTACAAGGTACAATTTTCCAACTGTCAAAAAAGTAACCCTCATTAATCCTTATGTCACTTTACCTTAAATAGAACATCTTCTCAATTGCTAAGGCCAAAGAACAGGCAATTGCCGATGCGACAAAACTTAAAGAGAATGAGAACGACACTCCACCTGGTAAGGAGCCCATTCCTCCTCCTGAAGAAAAGAAAGACGATGGAGGAGTAGTGGTAGTAGCTGGAGGAAGTGGCGGAAAGTCCACCAAAAAAGGTCCCAACTCGCCGCGATATTCTTCAAGAAAGCCTCGGCCACATAAGAGTGCTGCCGGCAATGCCGATGGGAACAAGGACAACAACAAGGAGAACAACAACGTGGATAACAACAAGGAAAACAACAACAACAACACCAAAAACAACCGTCGATCAAAGAGTCGGAAGAACAAGTGCTCCAAGAGCCGGAAGAACCGCCGCAGCACCAGCAAAAAGAGCTCCAAAAAGGGTCGCAGTAGGTCGGCAAAAAAGAAGGGCAGTCTTGGTCATCACCACCATCATCACCGTCCACATTCGAAGAAGAAGAGGAACCTGGGTGGGAAAGGAGGCTCACCGGACGGCAAAGGCAAAGAACCGGCTCAAGAGACGCCCCCTCAAAAGGAACAGCAACAGCCTCCGCCTCTAAATGGTAAAAACCAGCCTGGTCCTGCTGTTGATCAGAAGACGCCCCCACCACCTGAAGACGGCGGAACAATTCTCATTGCTCCTGCTGACTACAAGGTCTGGTTTAGAGGAATTAATTTTTCTAAATTGTTTTTTACTCTAACTATCTGGTTTTCACGTTTTGCAGAACATCTTTTCAGAGAAAAGACAGCGCTAAAAGAACAAAGGTTTCCTGAAAGTAGACTTGCTGGTTTGACGTGAAGGCACAATCCTCACTAGTTATTTCACTTTAAACCGTTGTCCCAAATTAAACTCCCCAACAACGAGACATTCAAAGATGTGAATGTTTTATGTTCTTGCACAAAAGTGGCTAAACGGCAAAATGAATACACAAAAGTGACGACAAGTGGTGGGAGTTTTTTGAGAGGGAGGGCAACAACAACCAGAGCAAGCAAGTCATGCTACTTTGGAGGGGGCGACTTTCCTTCACCCGATTTGACGGGCTCCTTGCCGCCTCCCCCTCCTGGCTCACCACCACCGCTAGATTTGGGAGATTTAGGAGCGTCTTTTGCCTTTTCCGGTGGCGGTGAGCCCTTTCCAGTTTCAGGTGGAGGAGATTTTGTAGATGGAGGTGGTCCGTCCTTGCCATCACCCTTACCATTACCCTTACCATCATCCTTGCCATCACCACCTTTTCCTTCACCACCCTTTCCCTGGCCATCTTTTGGTGGCGATGGTGACTTGGCAGGAGCCGCCGACGGAACCGGCCCAGCCGCTGGTGGTGGCGGTGATCCTCCCTTCTTGCCTCCCTTCTTAAAGGCCGAACTCCCCTGAACGCCCTCCGTCAGCTTGTACACCTCCAGCAGCTTTGCTTTAGCCTTCCCGTCAATGTTGGCCGGGTCAATTGCCTCGACCATGCTGACGATCAGTTCGAGGGCAGATCGGTTAGTGGCGATGGCCGCATCGTGATCGCCAGCTGGCCCAGCTGCTTTGCCTCCTCCGCCGCCGCCGTCAGTGCTCTTCTTCTTCAGTGACTTGTTGTCCTTGTTTGAGGCGCTCTTCTTCTTCTTCTTGTCCTTCTTCTCCGATTTGTTGCTCTTGGCGCTCTTGGGCTTTCCCTTGGTCATTGTGGTGGGTGATGTGTTACGTGTTAGGCTAAATGAAAATAAGAATAACGTGTCAGCAAATTTTAAGCAAACAAAAAATGTGGCCAAGAAGCAAACGGTGAGTTGTTCTTTCAGTCGTTGCTTTCAAAGTTCTATTTGAGAAGTTTTGTTACTGTTTTTGCTACTTCTAATTTACATCAATCAATCAATTGACTTTTAATTACTTGACAAACTTGTAATTAGCAATGCACCCAGTGTTTACCTACTTTTAATTACTAGTTAGCTACATAAAAAAAATGGAAAACTATAGCTCAAGACTTTGTGATAAAAGNAAAAAACAGGGAAAAACAGGGGAGAAGTCTGGCAGGCAAAGACTCTAGCGAACCTGTTTTTATTGCACTGCTAGGACTTTGTAGATTTCAGCTGTGCAACGCTAGGACTTTCAAATTACTTTGACGCAGATTTCTGTCGCAACTTTACCACTGTTAACCTCGGGCCTTGGGCCTTGCTCGTTTCGCTCTCAGGCCCCTCGTCAACAAAAGTCAACAGTAGTCAAGTCACAACAAACCTCGCGGATTTTATCTGTGCATTGATAGGAACTTGCAATTACTTTAGTGTCAATTGAAATTAACGGGCGCCGGTCAAAACCTCAAAACAATAATCTCGCAGCAAAAATCTCGCGTCAAAAATCTCAAAAACAAAAATCTTGAAAGTTTCTTCGGGCTTTCTCGCTTCGCTTGCAGGTCCCTCGTTGACCGAAGTTAACAGTGGTCAAGTCACGTCAAACTTCGACACAGCTAACAAACGTTAATCACTCGTAGGTGTAGGCAAACTCTTTTGTGATCAGCTCAATGTTCTACTCCTGCGGGCTGGTGACCGGCTGGATAAAACGCGTCCAGTTTGAATTGTTCTTGTTTTTCTGATTCAGCAAAACCGCCTCCAAAATTAAAATGCGCAGGTTCTTGGCGCTGTAGGCGATCTGCGACAAAAAGTACAGTTAATTTTTGGAAAAGGTAATGACGCCCTCGATGGGTCCAGTTTGCGTCTTTGACAAAATGGACTTTTGGGAGAAAACGGCCAAGCGGCGAACGCCGCCGCCGTCGTCAGCAAGGCTCTTTTCCAGGTAGAGGTAATTGACGGGCAGCAAGGTCCGGGCGAGAGTAAACACCGACACGTCGCTGATGACGTTGTTCACAGGCAGCTTCAGTCGATTTTCCTGCAGCACTTTTTCCTGGACCACAGGCAAATGATGCATTTGGTAATGCTCCTTGAGCATTGGCAAAGCTTTCTTGCCA